GACGACGAGGGAGCGACGGGCGCGCCAGCAGGAGAGGAAGCCGAGGCGGCGGCGGAGTGCGCGGAGGCCATCGGGCTAGGCGGCGGCAGCGATCGGCGGAGGCGGCGGCGGCAGCAAGGGGTGCAGCGGAAGACGGGAACCCTAGTCTGATACCATGTAAGACTAGAATATTAGGGCAACTGCTCGACACCCTTGGGGGGTGCGGCTATCTCATTATATATAAGTACCAAAGGGTACAAGTACAAGTACAACACGTATACACAAGTCTACGTAGCAACCCCTCCTGGCCAGGACCCTATCATCAAATCCCTGCAACTCTTTTGTTTTGCGTGTTTGTGTGGGTGAACTCTGTGTTTCCATCTGCAAGATTAGTTTATGATTCCTTTTTTATTTTGCTCCCTTCCTGCGGATTGATATTTGTGTACAAACGGTCATAGGCTGTCCTTGCAAGCTAAAATAACGTTGTTCGTCTATATAAATGAATCAATCTTGGTAATTGTTAAGATTAATTTCGCTGTACCAAACTTTAGATACCACACTAGGCTACATATTCAGACATCCATTCTAACTGAACCGCTTACACTTGCATGAGCATTACAGCAGACCAAGTTTTACAAAACCATCGTATATTGCTTTATGCAGAGTGAAAAGAAGCATTAGCACGTAAATGACTCATGATAACTGACAAACTGATTGTTCACCCGGTTTCAGTTGATTGCATGTACAACTTTCTTCAGTTCAGAGTTCAGAATTCAAATGCACTAAACTTTTGCTTCTAGCGAGGTTTGCATGCACTGAAGTTGCTCTCAACAATTTTTGCAGGTGAGACAAAGAGATATGCCCCGTATATGCATCTGTGGCTCTCTGTTTCTAATCATCGCCAAAGAAGACCATCAGGTGAGGCAATTATTTAGCTATTCTACACTAAGCGTCCACAAGTACCACAGTTGCAGACCTTCAGAGGATTGTTGTTTTCTGTTTGACTGTTTTATTTGAGCACTATGAGGTTGTATCTACTCTGGAAACATGTGATTTGTATAAGAGTGGAGCTATCTATCACCTCCACTTGCTTTTTAATGTCTCATACTCCCTCCGTTCGGAATTACTTGTCGCGGAAATGGATGTATCTAGATGTATTTTAGTTCTAGATACATCCATATCTGAAACAAGTAATTCCGAACGGAGGGAGTATTATTTATGCCCCTCTATATATACCATAGTTGTGCCCATCAGTAAAGAAGTTGCTGCTAAAATATGTTGTACAAGCTTATCATAAATGCCAGGCTGATGCATAGCATGCAACGTTTTTTCATCCGGTTTGTGGGATGGATGCGAGTTAATTCTCAATCCACACGAATTGTGTTGTTGCTTATTTTTTTAGTCAATTCCTTTTTTTTTTTACCATTTAGACTTGTTGGATGGTTGTAAACTTCGCAATGATTAACTGAGGGTTGGGTGCACCTGTCAATGCAGAGGTCGGACGTTTAACTCTCTTTTTTGAAGAAAAAGTTCAATGCATGATCTAGAAAATAGACACTACTCTAAACCGCATTGCTAAGGGTTGAAACAAAAGGGAAGTAAGGAAAAGGAAATATATTTGTCTGCTTAGAAAAATATAAACCATGTAAACTGGTAAATTACAGATCCCAAAATTGAGCATAGGGGACAAAATTAATAGGGAATAGTAAAGATATCATTTATCAATGTAGTATACTGTGCTGGCTATGGTTGTCATGTGGTAATTTACAGGAAATGTTTTTCATAGGGGAGGTGTCTGCGATTGATGAACAATGTTATCTTGCCCAGAGTTAAGTGCGGACTGTTTCTCGACAATGGACATAGAAGCCAGGCAACTAGCGGTGGAATATCAGTGCAAGTTTGCACACTGGGACAACACAGAAATGCTAAATATGGAGGTGCTGCAGACTACACCGAAATAGCATGAAATGCTGAATGTTGGGCTCTAGACATGTTGTTAGCCAGGGCACGGCCAACTGGTAGACGTGGAGTAGAAACTTTGGTTTTGATTTGGATGAATACGAGTTAGATGAAGACAAGAAGGCTTTTTTATCAATATTCTATGTTACTCTACTCCCACCAAAACTCGACATGTTTCTATTGCTTGCATGGTCCATGAAAGGAACACATAATGTCATAATCCAAATTGAAATATCTGCTTGGAGTATAATGTATTGTTTTTAGTGCCTGGTGAAGATTTTTGCAAGCAGTAGTTGTAATTGGCTCACCATTACCGTTTTATATATTGACGGTGCAGCAAAGCGCGCCATCTGCTTCTAGTACTATATGCATTGATCTGCTTCTAGTACTCCATGCATTGAATCAAGTGATTCTGCTTTTAGTACTCCATGCATTGATCTGCTTCTAGTACTCCATGTAGTACTCCATGCAAAGCCAATCTTCTCATAAAATTTGTGTACGACAGTTGTTGGGCGTGTACCATTTGGGTATCAGGATAGGTTAAAAGTGATGCCCTGAATCAAGCACTATCTGCTGCACGTTCACTGCCTTTTTTTCTTTATAAGGCACTTCATTGCCACAAGGCGAAGCATCTCCCTGCTCAACTCAAGCCGTCAAGCCAGCGCAACCACCAGTGTCCCTAAACACCAAGCTGCCCAGTCCGCCGACCGGCCGTTCGTCGGACATGACCAGCCGCAAAACTGGCCCGGGCGCAGGCGGGCGCTGGAGCGACGGCGAGACGTCCGCTCTCCTGGACGCGTGGGGCCAGATTTATCTCCGCCGCAACCGCAGCTCGCTCCGCATGGACGACTGGCTCACTGTGTGCAGAGCTGTCAATGCTCACCGCGGCGACCTCAACCGCACCCTTGCTCAGTGCCGGACGCGTCTCTGTACACTCAAGCAGAAGTACAAGGTGGAGGTCGCCAAGGGGCTGCCGGCGTTGGGGTCTCCCCACTTGGCCCGACTCCGGGGCTTCCTGGCCGACTCCAAGTTCTCCAACGGCCCGCCTCCCGGCTTCGACGGTAAGACTCCGGCGGCTGCCGTCAAGATGGAGGAAGAGGAGGAGAAGGAGGAAGAGGAGGGGGAGGAGGAGGCGAGCGGATGCGTGGGTGGATCGGCCGGCAGGAGTGAGGTCCCGGTGAAGCGCCAGCGCCACTTTTCCAGCCTACGGGACATCCTGGAGCGATCAGGCGACCCGTCCCTGGCAAAGACGCCGGCGACCGTCTGCTGCGGCTGTGAGTTGGTTGGGGGTTCGGCGACTGGGGTGACGAAGCTGGTGGCGGAGATAAGGAAGGTGGCGGAGGTGCACGAGCGCGTGGAGATGGAGAGGCACAAGTTCAAGAAGGAGATGCAGATCCTCAAGATGATGGAGCTGAAGGACGTGAGGCTGGAGCACAAGAAGGTGAAGGAGAATCCGAAAGAAGCCGACGGCAAGTAGCATCCCATCACGGTAAAAACTAAAAGGCTCTCTATCCCATTCCCAGTCAGTTCTAGTCGCAGCTTGCAGGAGCTCAGTACTCGTTTGTTTTCTTCTTGCTAACTTTGGTTTCTGTTTTGTAGGCGCAGGGGATTTGATCTGCAGCGGACCAACAAAAGAAGAGCAGCGTAGAGGAGCTTAGCTTAGCTTTATGCGTAGTATTGTTGTTTTATTTGTTAGTCTTAGCGGTAGAGTACCTTAGATGGTGTTTGGTTCTCTAGTCCTAAAATTTTTTCTAGTCCCTAGGACTTTTTAAAAAAGACTCTTAAGGAAGTGTTTCTAAGGACTTTTAGCAAAAAGTCCCATCTTGTTTGGTTGGCTAGGGACTTCTTCTAGTCCCAACACAAAAAAGTCTCTGAAACCAAACACCCCCTTAAGCTAAATAAGAATTAGCGGGCACTGTATAGTACTATGAAATAAAAAGGCAGTGTATGGTAAGTATCGGCCGGTGTTTGTATGGCAAGAATTAGCAGACCTTTTATTTATTGTTTTATTCACTGCCTGGATACTTTAGCCCTTTTTTTTTGCGGGTAACACTGGATACTTTAGCTCATTCTTGTTAATTACTGTACTTGGTGACAAGAATGTTTATGTGTGTCACTCAGCGTAAATTATATGCATTTTAAATCAGTAAGTATCCAGTGTTTGTACATGTGCCGCGCGTGAGGGTGAGGCCATGGTATTGACGCCCCCGTTGTGTCTCCAATCAACGAATTGGCCGACAATGCAAAGCGAAATCAACCAAACGCACAGCCCCGCCGGCCGATCCAACCAACGCCGCTCATTGACGCAGTGAGCCCCACCTGCAGAGGACATGGCGTATGGAGTTTCTCCTTTCAAAGCAAACTGCACAAATAAATCTACCGATGATATCTTTTTGTGTTCACTGAAGTATGTACTCCCTCCGTCCCATCATGTAAGACGTTCTTTGACACTATGGGACGGAGGGAGTAGATGATACTCAAACGTAGAGAGCGGCGATTGTAGCGGACGAGCACGCCTGCTCCTGCTACACATACGAATGGAACGAGGACCCGTCGGGCCGTGTATTGAATGCGATCGTATGGAGCAGGTGGGGGTACTTGAATCAGAACTTCGTTTACGAGTCTTGATCTGTCGCTCGAGTCGCCCCCCCCTCCCCCCTCCCCCCGCTCGGGCAACTCGAGCTCCCCAACCCTAGCCGTCACCGGGGCCTAGCCCATCCTCCTCCCCTCCTCCCGCCGCCGCCGGAGGACGCCGCTGGCTTGCGCCCGCAGGCCGACGGCGGTGGCCGGGGCTCTTTCTCCCTCCCGCGTCTCAGGGGTGGCGGGACCCCAACATGTGTGGAGG